AGTCAGTCAAGCAGCCATCAGAATCTTACTCAGTAAAGGCATAGAAGTTCCCATTGTGCTCTCTCCTGCCCTAACTTTGAGTGAGGCAGAGTGTAGGATGCTCAAATACACAAGAAGCATTCAATTTCACTGACTAAGAAGCAAGCTCTAGAGGCATTGTTATGCAAGCGTTCCCAACACAGTTCTGCCAAGATATGTGAATCCCTGCACTCCTAGGCCTTCTCTAGTATAGAGAAGTGCACTGGTTTAATATCAAGTTCAAATCTATTTAAATTGCAATGTAAAAAAAAAATACACAACAAACAAAAACCAGTGTCATCCTTAGCCCAGCTAATTCAATATAAGCAATCTAGTTATTGAACTAAACAAAACCACAGCCAAGAGATAAAAACACTTCAAGCATGTTGTGGAAGTGGAAAAAGGGATAAAGGGAATTTGAACGCAGACAGTTTCTAGGAATAGAGCAAGAGTCAGGCTAACACTAACTCTAATAACGCGAGACTTTAAGGCCTGGGTGAGTGGGGAAAAAAACTGTAAAAACAAACAAAAAAAAAACACTGTTTTGACCTTGTGTTAAACAAAAATGGAATGCAGACTGTAGCAAAAACTGCTAAAAAAAGTAAAATATCAAAAAGGAATATGTATAAACAAGACGCGGCTGTTGATCATTATTGTATGCAACCAAAGGTATAAATGCTTGCCCTAATTGTTGATCTGGCGGAGACCTGCCTAGGAAGAGGGAATCCCTGTCCATGTGCACTCTTCCCCCTTGCAATTGCTTGAGAATAAACTGTCTCTAAATTGTTGCAAACAACCTAAGAGTGAAGACTGTGTTTTCTTCCATAATGTCCACATTAGAGGTTTCCCCCAGCTTAGCTAGTTTAAATCTAGTTAGTTAAGCCAACGCTCTTCTCTAGCGCAGAAGAATCTCTAGGCCCTGGCCACTCACGAAGACAGGTTACCGGGCTAGATGGACCATTGGCCTGATCTAGTGTGGCCACTCATGTGCTGAAGTCTGGAAGAGCCATTTCTCCCCTAATCCTGCCAATGCACCTCAATCCTGCCCCACAGTACCCCCGCGCCCCTTCGAATATTTCAACAGCTACAGAAATTTGTGAGAGCACCTCTACTGGCACTAGTCCAGATTGGTTTTGTTTCTCTCTGGCAGCAGCTACTCTCACTCCAGCTAGTTTCAACTGCAGCAGCTTTTTGGTTCCTATTAGAATCGCTTTGCCATGTTTATGTACAATGCACAAAAGCTCCTCTCTTTACTTCATAGATTCCAGGACCAGAAGGGACCACTGTGATCTGGCATTGTCAGCTGCCCCTACTTCACACCTCTGCCCTGTGTCTCCACAGGCTGATTTTGCCTCACTAATGTCTCAGGGCTGTTGCCTTTCCTGGTCTCATTCCATGGCTTCTCTCTAACCAGATGTCTGAGTCTTCACTTTGCCCCGGAGTTGATCTAACGGGCACTGTGCCACATCTTCCACGAGGCTAGGTTTCCTTGAAACCAGCTAAGCTGCTTGAAAGCTCAGAGGATCTGGAGCCAAATTTCTGACGACTAACCTCACTCTTGCCTGGGCTGCAATTCCAGCAGTCTGCCATTGTCTCTACTCCCTTCTGGGTTTTCAGTACTTTAGGCCAGAGGGGCTCCATTGGTTTATACTTTTCTCGTAAGGGGATTTCTTGACAGTGGAATTACTGGTTGGACACCCCACAGAAGGGACCACCCCACAACGAGTTTTAAAAACAGAGGCTGCTATGTATTTTCAAGTTACTCAAAAGGGTTGTTGTTTCTGCCACCAGGACTCAATAAAACAACAGATACCCAAAGAGGTGGGGGGAGTTAAGAACATAAGAATGGCCATAGAGGGTCAGACCCAATGATCCATCTAGCCCAGGATCCTGTCTTCTGACAGTGGCCAGTGCCAGGTGCCCCAGAGGGAATGAACAGAACAATTACTGTGTGATTCATCCCCTGTGGTGCAGTCCCGGCTTCTGGCAGATGGGAGTTTAGGGACAACAGAGCATGGGGTTGCATCCCTGACCATCTTGGCTAATAACCATTGATGGATCCAGCCTCCATGAACTCATCTAATTCTTTTTTTCAACCCAGTTATATTTTTGGCCTTCACAACACCCCGGGCAACAAGTTCCACAGGCTGACTGTGCACTATGTGAATAAGTGCTTCCTTATGTTTGTTTTAAACCTGTGGCCTATTAATTTCATCAGCTGACCCCATCTCGTGTTATATGGAAGTGTTGTTACCCTTCTTATTCACTTTCTCCTACCTTTCATGATGTTAGAGACCTCTATTATATCCCCCCTTGGTCATCCCTTTTCTAAGATGAACAGTCCTGGTCTTTTTAATCTCTCCTCATATGGAGTTGTTCCACCCCCTAGTAATTTTTGTTGCCCTTCTCTGCACCTGATCCAATTCTAATACATCTTTTCTGAAACGAGCAACCAGAACTGCACACTATTGAAGACGTGGGTGTCCCATGGATTTATATAATGACATTATGATATTTACCGTCTTATTATCTATCCCTTTCCTAAGGGTTCCTAACACTGTCAGCTTTCGACTGGTTTTTGGAGAACCATCCATGATAAGCCCAAGATCTCTTTTTTGAGTGGTAATAGCTAATTTAGACTCCATTTTGTATGTATAGTTGGGATGTTTTTCAATGTGCATTAGTTTGCATTTACCAACATTGAATTTCACCTGCCTTTTTTTTGCCCAGTCACCCAGTTTTGTGAGCTCCATTTGTAACTCTTTGGACTTAACCATCCTGAGTAATTTAGTATCATCTGCAAGCTTTGCGCCTTGCTGTTTACCACTTTTTCCAGATCATTTAGGAGTATGTTGAACAGCACCAGTCCCAGTACAGATCTGTGGGGGACCCTGCTGTTTACCTCTCTCCGTTTTGAGAGCTGACCATTTATTCCTACCCTTTGCTTCCTGCCTTTTAACTAGTTACTAACCCATGATAGGACCTTCTCTCTTATCCCATGATGGGTTACTTTGTGTAAGAGCCTTTGGTGTGGGACCTTGTCAAAGGCTCTCTCACAGTCTGCATACACTATATCCACTGGATTACCCTTATCCACTTGATTGTTGATACCCTCCAAGAATTCTAATAGATTGGTGAGGCATGATTTCCCTTTACAAAAAACATGTTGAATCTTCTCCAACACAATGTGTTTATCTGTGTATGATAACTTTGTTCTTTACTGTCGTTTCAACCAGTTTGCCTAAGGCTGAAATTAGGCTTACCAGCCTGTAATTGCCAGGATCACCTCTAGAGCTTTAAAATAAAATAAAATAAATAAAATAAAAATAAATAAATCAGCATAACATTAGCTACCCTTCAGTTATCTGGTATAGAGGCAGATTCAAGTGATAGGTTACATACCACAGTTGTTAATTCTGCAATTTCATATTTGAGTTCCTTCAGATCTCTTGGGTAAATACTATCTGGTTCTGATGACTTATTACTGTTTAATTTATCAATTTGTTCCAATACCTCCTCTACTGTCACCTCAATCTGGGAAAGTTCCTCAGATTTGTCACTTAAAAAGAATGGCTCAGGTGTGGGGACCTCACTCATATTCCATGCGAAGAATTAATTTAACTTCTACGCTGCTGAAACTTTAAAGCTATAGGGACAAACACTGGCCAGAAGAAATGGCATCTATTGAATAACATGGTGTTATAAGATAGTGTCATCGGTGATGAGAAAATTTACAGGGCATTACTTCACGCTGCCAATCCCTAAAGATCCATTTATAGGCCTAGTTTTGTAATCCATGTGTGTCAGTCATCAGCATTTTTATTTCCCTGTTGGAAATGAGTCATCCTCCTCCCAGAGGAAAATAATTTCTCTGGCTTATTATGAAAGATGCCCCATACAGAAATTGATATGGACAATATCTACTTGAAGGGACCATGTCAGGTCATTCAGTACTTAGAAATCATGTAAACAGGCCTTAAATTGAGGCCAAAAATTTAGGGTTTTACAAGGCTGGTTTTATTTTTTTTAAATAAGGCAGCCAACGAAAGACAGCTGTTTGGATGTGAACATACCCTCTGCAGTGTTTTCGAACATTAAAAAAAATACGCTGTTGCAAGAGTCAGAAAATGAACCCAAGAACTTACAGTAACAAAGAAGAGGTCAGAACCAGGCAGTCTATTTTCATTGTTCAAAAGTAGTTTAGTAAGTAATCAGATATTTAAGATTTAAAATGTTGAATAATCTAATGTTTTAAACACAAGTGATTTACCACCTGATACTGTCCCTTTAAAAATGTTCTGAAATGACAGAGGGCTAGAGAGTCAACTTTATTCTTTCTTCCTTGATCACTCAAAATGCTTTAACACTTACTTTCTAAGGATGATGACAGCTCTCCTCTCCTTGATGTCCTGCGGTCGAATGCAGTGCGTGATTTCATCAGCTGCATATCCACTGGACAAAAAAAAGACAAAACCAAGAACTATGAGCAGGCTGATAAACAAATGATTCCCAGTTTCAGAGAATCAAGCACTGCTACCTACTCTCTAACTTTCATGGTGCAGTTCCTAAACTTCACACTGTTCTGAAAACAAATTCATGTTATCAGCCTTACATAATTTTTGCTTTCAAGTTCAGGCAGGCTGAGAAACAGATGAAGACATGAATGTTTTTTGGTCCTGGTCATTTTCTGCCACAGTGTGTAAGTACACATCAAAAGAAAATTAATACAAGCCATATTCATAAATAAAGTGACATTTAAAGTATAACCACAGAATGTACAGTCAGCAACCTCATTTAGTGAAGTATGATCAGGAGAATTTAAATGAGCAACATATCACCACCACATTACCGAAAGGGATAGTCCCATGTAATTCCCTCCATAGAAAGCCATCTCAATTACAATGGAGATAAATGTGGGCAAGCTGTAGACAAGATTCTACTCTGCCTTTTGAGTTTCCCCTTAAGGGTTGTGGCTTTGGGATCACAGGTGAATTTTTAGCCTGGTGAAAAGCAGAGTGGCAAGAAATCAGAGAATGGGTGTCCCTGCGCTAGAGGGATCGGCAACCCTTCAGAAGTGGTGTGCCGAGTCTTCATTTATTCACTCTAATTGAAGGTTTCGTGTGCCAGTCATACATTTTAACCTTTTTAGAAGGTCTCTTTCTATAAGTCTATAATATAGAACTAAACTATTGTTGTATGTAAAGTAAATAAGGTTTGTAAAATGTTTAAGCTTCATTTAAAATTAAATTAAAATGCAGAGCCCCCCGGACTGGTGGCCAGGACCCGGGCAGTGTGAGTGCCACTGAAAAATCAGCTCGCGTGCTGCCTTCGGCATGCGTGCCATAGGTTGCCTACCCCTGCACTAGAAAGACTAACCTTTCTGTGTCCCCATCAAGTTCAGATACTTCCCTGCATAGCATAACCACTCCCTGCTCAGCTGCCCCAAGCAAGCAACACAGACTGCCCTCCTATGTAACCACAGAGATTCTACTGCTGGAGTTATCAAGGCCCAGTCATAGAAGCATGCATGAAGATGATTTAGCTAGACTTGTGTCTTTAGACTAATTTCTGTAAAACAAGATACTGCCCTAAGAGCTACATACTATGGGTATTCAGAAGCATTTCAGGTGTACTACTTGATAGCGCCAACAATACAAGTATCAACGTTTTCTTTCGAATTCTGTTCTCATGGTTGCCTTTTTGTTGAAAAGTACAGTTTTCAGAGTTCAGTGCAATCAGCAAGGTATGTAGTTTGAGGTTTCACTGAGCAGGGCCACATTTTACGTTAATATGGATGATTGCAGGTAACATCTGCTTAGACAAATTACCTTGTAAGAACTTCTGGAAACGAAACACCGTTCTTATGATGTTAATTGAAGGTAAGGAACAAAGCCCACTCAGACTGGAGGGAAGGGAACGCACCATGCCAGTGCTTCTCCCGCTTTGTTTTTTCCAGAGCTGGGGTGGGCAAACCTTTTGGCCTGAGGGCCACATCGGGGTTCCAAAACTGTATGGAGGGCTGGGTAGGGAAGGCAGTGCCTCCTCAAACAGCCTGGCCCCTGCCGCCCCCCCCCAAACCCCCGACCCA